ATTAAGGCATGTTAAGGTAAGGGACTTAACCTACCCTAGGGCTCACAGTGGAGCGGTGGCGCAATGGAGCTTTTGAGGTAGCTCGGGGGTGGTTGGGTGGTGAGGAACCTCAAAAGGTGGTGTAGTATAGTCTAGGGCGACTAAATCTTTGTCTTTTTGCGCCGGATCATAACATTGGTATCAGAGGAGTTGGTTGTGATGGCCGACCAAGCTGAACGTTGGAATCCTATTGTCGATGGTGGTGCCGACGATGGTGCCGACAAAGCTGCAGAGATTTGGACCATTTAAGATGTGGTTCATGATTTGCGAGCCTTTAATCGAAATCAGCAAGAGATGCAAAACAAGATGCACGGCATGATGGATACCATGCGTGGGTGTGTTGAGGCACCATCGTTATCTCTGATGATCTAGAGAAAGTGAGTGATTTCAAGGTAGTTGACTGTCCTTTTCTTTGATTATAAGAGCCAATCCTTGTATGGAGAATGTTTATCATGACCTCAAGTCATGTTGATTTGCTGAAGAAAAGCCTATATGTATTTTCTACAACTTGAGAGGTACTAAGGATACCAATGTCTTCAAGGTCACCCCTTGCACTATCATGTGCCACGTTACTGAAGACAAATCATGGGACAAAATCAGTTAACTCCAAGCTATTTCAACAATGTATGCTAAGAAGTTCAAAGGGGTACATTTGTTGTTGTTTTACAAACATGTTGACGGCCACTCCATTCCACACAATCCTCAATCTATTTCAGTTTGCTGCACTTGCCACATTTGTAAGTTGAGAGGCAAACTAGGTGCCACCACTGCAAGAACAAGTGAAGTTATTTCTCCACGCTGCCCAAACATATGGACTCCATCCTAGTGATTTTCTTAGTATGTTCACATCACAGCGCAGGCCACAGGCAATCAAACACACCACCAACCGGTCGTTTCTTATAGATCCCAAAAGTTATCGCTTTTACTAAGCATTTTTAACTCGGTTTCCTTTTTAGGGACTATGTTTTATCAAACCGCAGGGTAGCAGAGGCTTTGCATTCTTGTCTCAGCCAAAACGTGCATTGTATTCTTTCCCAACGCAATCACCTATGACTATGACTCGTGGCAAATCTCGCTTAAACTTTGTAGTGGGTAATCTCATCATTCAACTATTAAGCTCAGGTATGTTGATGGCAGGTATAGCTTGGATGGAATTCAAACTCTTCTGAAGAGATTATAGAGACGTAAAAGTCTGGAAGCTACTATAGGGAAGAAGAGATCAAATTCTCTCTGTAACATGTTGCATGTCAAAACAAGTCTTTCAACAAGGTAGTTGGACCACCCTGGCTACAGTAGTGACGTTATGGTGACTACATGCATGGCTTACGCTCCCTTCATGTAATGACAGAATTCTAACATGGGCAACTATTAGAAAGTGAGTCTAAGGCCTTCCTCCTCTTCTCAATTGTAGCTATCAACAAACTTTGTATTTGTAAACTTTGAATAGACAAACACTTTTGATTTCAACTGTTTCAATCTCGCAGCCAATAAGTAGCCTGATCAGAAGAAGCAAGAGCATTTTGTTTTTCATTAGTCCAATGGCAAGAGAAAAGATTGACTGGGACTAGAAAGAGACCAACAAAAGACTACTGTAGACCTCCATCAGCAATGCACTTAGATTGCTGGAGAGTCTAGGAGATTGAGCTTGATGTAGTTGCAATATGTCTGTTATCTTTGGAGTTGTGGGTGAAAAATGTGGTGATCTTTTGTTTACATTCTTAGACAAAATTTTGAATCTTCCACAGCATTCTATTAACATGTTTAAGTTTCCAGAGCGTCTGGCTAGCATTTGCTGGGCAATTTCTGGTTAGTATGATAAAATAGTTCCAGAGGCTATAATCCTGGGTTATGACAAGAATGGTCGTGGGACGTGTCACGCTAAAAAAACGAAAACGAAAAAGAATAATGTTAGCATTTTTGGATGCTTGTGCTTCACTCCTCTATTCAATCAAGCACTCATCTTTTGATTGGTGAAGAGCTACAGCAAGCTCCAGAGACACAGTCAGTCTTGGTCCTTTTGAAGAGTTGGAGTAACAAATGGTGGTGGGAATTTTGATCATACGTGTAAGGAAGTCAAATCCAAAAAAAAAAAAAGACAAATTACTCCCAGTCACCAAGTGACCATAGTTTTGTAATAAGCTTAGAGACCGAGACTAAGATCGAGATTGAGTCCGAGTCTAGACTGAGTCCAAGTTTGAGTTCGAGTCAAAATCTGAGTCAAATCCGAGGATGAAAGCCCAAAGTGATCATCTCGCAAACCTTGAGGGGGTTTGGTGAGCTTGAAAAGTAAAATAGAGGGAGGACACTAGTGGAGTCAATATGGCCAGGAAAGGCCAATGTGACCAAAGAAAGCTATACCCATGTGTTGAGTGATGATATAACCACTAAAGAGTCCAAAGCTAGAATAAATATGGACAAACAAGTGGGGTAACTTGGTGAAATATTAAAAAACTGGTGTAAAGAACCAACTCACCGAGGTGTCGTAGGCTAAAGGAGCCCTGAAAGCTTGACCAAAATGATAAAGAGTTCATCGGATGAGACCAAGTCTAAGATCGAGTCCAAGACCGACTCTAAGACCGAGTTCGAGATAGAGTCCGGAATCAAGTCCAAGACCGACTCGGAGATCATCTCCAGGATTATTCAATAGTAGAGAAGAACATTTGGAATACACTGCCTGAATTGGTGGAGATTTGCAATGAGTTACTGGCGGCCAACGAAGTCGTTTGCATGCATCCAGGGATATGGCTGGACGGAAAGCTTTTCTCAATTTCCAGGAAGTTTTCTCGGAAGCTTCACGTCACTAGCTTCTTGATATCTTCAGGCTTCATCATACTCCATTGTCTTCGCCGATCGTTCTGTTGTCGTCTGGGGCCTGGCTCGCCCCTCTATACAAAAAAATGATTTAGCACAAACAGCATCAAGGCAATAGCAAAATTCGAAGACCTTTTTGAAGACGAATACCAAGTAGAGGTAAGCAGCTTCCCATTCGTCTGGAGATAAGGTGTCGCCATTACCTGGAGAAAAGAAACAAAACATAGAAACTAGAAAGGAAACATCAAAACTCACTTCCATCTCCCAAAGCACCGAGTTTCCGCATTAGATCAATAAAGTGGTCGTCTTTGATGTGCTTGTGGACAAAGTCATGAAAGTTAAGTTTAAGCACAAGATCTAACCCATACTACAGGAAAAAACCAGTAAGGAATATGTAACATTGTGACTAAAATACTTACATTCGCCGCTAAAGACTGGAAATAAGGGAAGAAAACCAGCCATTCTGGGCAATCCACAGCATCCTGTCAATCAACAGAAATGCTTAAAGAACCGGGGAAAAAGTTAGAACGCACCTCGAGCTTGAAGTGATACTGGATCCCAAAACGAGTGGCTTGAGAAAATCTCTGGAAAGGAACCAGCAAGTATACGACGTTCATCAAAAGTTAAAGCACTACCTTGGTTCTGTGTTCCTCCCCAAAGCTTATGTTATACACACTGTTCCCAAACTCGAGGCCTTGCGCTGCTTACAAACATCATCCCTGGAATCAACGCTGCTGGTAAAAAACGTACCAGCTCGGAGCTTCTGGACAATCACGTTCGAATCTGGCATGGTCCCTATGAAGAAGCCACCCGGGTTGAGCATTCTGGAAACATTATCCAAGGCTCGCTCTGCCCGTTCTATCGTCGACCACGAGTAATGTAGAGCAAACTGAGAGAAAAAGAAGTGAATAGTCAAAACCATGAAGAAGGGATTCGATTTGGACGAGTACCTGGCAGCTACAAACATCGAAGCCTCCCTGGATGCTTCTCTCGAGATCTACCTGCAAGACAAAATGCATCACATATTTTTTACGAGCAAAGAAAATTACTTACCTCGTAACAGTCTCCACAGAAGAGCTCCGCTGCGAAGGACAGTCTCTGCCTCCTGTTGTTGTATCTCTTCATCGCGTCATCAATCTTTTGGTTGAAAAGAAACAAAAGCTCAGAGATTTTTCTCTATCGATCCCTTTTGTTTCTATGAAACAATCTCGATCGACTTACCGATCCAGCTGCAATGTCAACGCCAACATATCTTCCAATGTTCGCTTTGTCATACTTGATCAGATCGCCGCCCTGGAAGAAGTGAGTGATAGTAGCGAGAGAAATGTAGAGAGATTTCATCCTACCTTGCCACAAGCGAGGTCGAGCACGGAATCTCCTTTGTGAACGTACAAGTGTATAAGAACGCTCTTGATCTACATGCAACAAAGAGAGTAAAGAAAAATTCCAAGGGAAAGAATGCAGTCGTTTTTACTTTCCACTCACCCAATTGTTGAGCTTCTTGAGATGGATAATCGGGCTCGACTCGCGCTCCTCTCGCGACTGGTTGGATCGCCCGCTGTAAAAATCCGCGACTTGCTTAGCCTTCTTCCGCGACTCAACTGCATCGGCGAGAAGGAAATTTTCGCAAGTGATCAAAGCCGCAAAGAGAATTCTACCGAAATCCTCGCGCTCCTTGCCGCGCTTCGCGTTCATTCTTAACCTGGAATCGCAAGAACCCTAGAATCTCATCGTGCTGGAATCAACGGTCAGTTTTAAATGATGCCCTAAAATGTGAATGGATGGATCGCAATGGCCTAGCGCATCTACTGAGGAGCTGCTCAAGAGATCTCCACGAGCTGCGATGGATCCATTCTCAGATCCGCGGCAGCCATCACAGGCACGACACATTCCTCGCCAATCTCTTGATCGACGCGTACTCGAGATGCGGCCGCCCGGACGAATCGCGCAGCGTTTTCGATGCCCTCGAATGCCCCAATTCCCACTCTTGGAATTGCCTCATTCACGCGTATGCCCACAATGGGCAATTGCCCCACGCCTGGGAATTCTTCTCCGCCATGCCCGATCGCAGCGTCATCACCTGGAATTCCCTTTTCTCCAATTGCGTCGCCGCCAATCAGCTCCACAGCGCCCGAGATCTCTTCCATCGCATGCCGCAGCACAGCATCATCACGCTCAATTCGATGATCCAGGGATTCATCCAGATGGGCTGGCTAGAATCCGCGATCCAATCGTTCCACGCCATGCCGGAGAGATCGGTGATCACTTGGAGCTCCATGCTCGTCGCGAGCGCTCAAACGGGGAGTCTGTACGACGCGCGCTCCTTCTTCGACAAAATGCCCGCGCGTACGGTAGTGACCTGGACAGCCATGCTGGCTGCCCACGGCCAACATGGCGACGTGGACGCCGCGATGGCGGCCTTCGACGCAATGCCAGAGAGGAACACCGTGACGTGGAACGCCATGCTGGCGGCTTATGCCATTAACGGGCATGCCGACGAGGCAAGGATGCTGTTTGATTCCATGCCAGACGGCCGCACAGTTGTGACGTGGAACACTCTCGTCACTGGATTCGCCGGGTCAGGACGCCACGTGGATGCGATCGCGGCCTTTGATCGCATGCCACGTTGGAGCATCGTGTCCTTCAATTGTATGATCCAGGCAAATGCCCAGAGAGGGCAAATGCAGCGCGCAAGGGAGATCTTTGACGAGATGCCCCAGCGCAGCGTCGTCTCCTGGTGTCTGATGATCACGGCGTATGGGCGATCGGGGAGCGCGATCGAGGCCCGGGATCTCTTCGATCGAGCTCCCAATCGATCGCTCGTGTCCTGGAACGCGATGCTGCTGGCGGCGGCTATGAATGGCGACGCCAATCTCGCCGCGGCGGTGTTCTCGCGAATGCCCGAGTGGGATTCCATCACCGCCAACAGCATGGTGTCGGGATTGGCCGATGGGGGCAGGGTCTGCGAGGCCGAGGAGATCGCGAAGCGCAATTCGAATCCAAAATCCTGGACGATCATGCTGGGCGCGTACGCCGACAGCGGCGAGATTGATCGCGCGAGGGCTCTGTTCGAGAACATGCCAGTGAAAGATCTCGTCTCCTGGAACGCGATGATGCAAGCCTATGGCCGAGAGGGCAGCGCGAGCGAGGCCAGAGCCACATTCGATCGAATGCCCAGGAGAGATCTCGTGTCATGGATCTGCCTCATAGCGTCTCTGTCCAGGAACAAGCTCGTGGACGAGGCCGCGCTAGCGCTGGATCGAGCGCCAATGCTGGCCGATAGCACGCTCACAGCGATGCTCACCGTGTATGCCCAGAGTGGGCATTTGCGCCACGCCTGGCAGATCTTCGCCGCTATACCCGAGAGGGACTGCGTGGCGTGGACGGCCATGATCGCGGCGTATGCCCACTTTGGCCATCTCGACGACTCCTCCTCGGGAGCTCTGGAGCTGCTCTGGATGATGGAGCTCGACGGTGCTCGGCCAAACGCTGTCACCTTCTCGGCGGCTCTCGCAGCGTGTAGCCACTTGGGCGTTGTGGATCTGGGACGGGAGCTCTTTCTCTCGATGGCATCGGATCGAAGCATCGTTCCCGAGCAGCAGCACTACTGCTCGATTGTTGATATGTTCGCCAGGGCCGGGAGAACTCGAGAAGCCGAGGAGCTCCTCCAGTGCATGCCTTTCCAGGCCGACGATAGATCCTGGACTGCGCTTCTCACGGCTTGTAAGAACCAAGGCGACATACCTGGAGCTACTCGAGCGGCCGAGTTTGCCATGACTGACAGCCAAGGCGGTCCTTACTTGTTGGTGTCCGACTTGTACAAATCGATACTTCGTTCCTGATAGATTTGCTTTTCTCCCGGAGGAAAAAACCTCTTTTTATTCTTCTTCTTTCCTGGCTCTGGTAAGCAAAAGCTCACATTGATGCGCTTAAGTAGTCACGGCGAGAAATTTATAAAAGAAATACCACCTCGATCGATTATAGAAAATTGCATAGCCCTCCGCCGGGTCGATCGATTAATGAGCGGACTCTCTGCTGTAGAATGCATCCAGAGTCTTTCCTGGTATACGGCGCAGTAGTTCTCTGGGGAAAATCCGGAGCAAAGTCCACGCCAAGTCCAAGGACTGGAAGATGTCTCTTGTGTCGTAAGCGCTTTGACTGACAAATTTTTTCTCGAATTTGTCTAAGAATTCCAAGTACAGCTGCAGGGAAGGAACACAGTTGGTTAACATACTGGCATCAAAAAGCAAAACTGGTGCTTTACCAGATCTTCAGATGACAGCGCTTCTTCTCCCACGACAGCTTTCATCGCTTGAACGTCTTTGCCAATGGCATAGTTTGCATAAAGCTGCAAAACCAGTAGACATTGTTAAACGGCATAATGATGTAGACACAATCGCTCACCTGGTTCGAAACGTCGGAGTGATCCTTTCGGGTCATACCTTCTCCAATAGCACTCTATGCAAAAGAAAACAGAAAATCGTTAACCGGATATCTATTAAGCTCCTTTGCGGTACCTTCATCAAACGAGAAAGCGATGGCAACACGTTGATAGGTGGATAGATCTGAAACACAAGCAGCCAAAGAGAAGTGTTACATGTACACTGCAAAATACCAGCACAAACCTGACGATTGTAGAGTTGACGGTCCACATAAATCTGTCCCTCAGTAATGTAACCAGTGAGATCCGGAATCGGATGAGTGATATCTGCGAGTAAGTCAGTAGATGATCTCGATGATCAGACATCTCGTACCATCGTTTGGCATACTGAGAATGGGAATTTGAGTGATTGATCCCATTCGCCCTTCAATTCGTCCAGCACGCTCGTAAATTGTTGCCAAATCTGTATACATATAACCAGGATATCCACGACGACCAGGCACCTCCTCACGAGCGGCAGACACCTACACAAAGCCCTGGTTATCATAGCTCTCATGACAAACTTGAAACATACCATACCTCACGCAATGCATCCGCATACGAACTCATGTCGGTCAAAATGACAAGCACATGTTTCCCGCAATCATAAGCCAGATACTCTGCCGTCGTCAACGCAATCCTGGGAGTAATGATACGTTCGATTGTGGGATCGTTCGCCTGTACGAAACACGATGGAGGAGTAAAAACGCATTGGCATTGTCAATCCATAACGTACCAGGTTTAAGAACAATGTGACTCTTTCCATCGATCCATTTTCCTCAAAATCCCTTTTGAAAAACTGTGCAGTCTCCATGTTCACACCCATAGCTGCAAAGACGATTGCAAAGTTGTCTTCAACATCACGCTGGATACGAAAGAAACTCATCAGTCTCAACAACAGACAGAAGATAAACGGAAAACAATTGTACCTCTAAAACGTTCCCCGCGTCCAAGTGTCTCACAAGTCCGGCTTGTCGGCATATTTGAGCAGCAATTTCGTTGTGCGACAGCCCAGCAGCCGAGAAAAGTGGGATTTTCTGACCTCGGGCTATGGAGTTCATAACGTCGATGGTCGAAATGCCAGTCTGAATCATTTCTTCCGGGTACGTACGTTCGCTTGGGTTGATGGAGCTTCCTGTAGAACATCTAGAGGTCAGTTGAATATCAAGTAGAAGAAGATGTATCACCAGAAATGTCTAGGTAAGCTTCTGCCAAGATCGGGGGCCCGTTATCGATAGGCTTCCCAGAACCATTAAAGATTCTACCGAGCATATCTATGGACACCGGGGTTTTCAACACCTGGAAAGCATACAGTAGAGTCAAAATCACTGTAGGAAGAAAGAGCAAGCCACCTCTCCAGTGAACTCAACAGTCGTGTGCTTGTTATCAATTCCAGTAGTCCCTTCGAAGACCTGAAAAGAGGAGAAGCTCAGTAACTCGGTCGCCAGAACAAGAGATTGAATCAATGACCTGCACCACGGCCCGTTCGCCATCGATCTCCAGCACCTGACCTCTCCTGTAAGAACCATCGCCAAGTCTCAAGTTCACGATTTCTTGGAACTTTGGGCCCTGGTGGAACATCAATCGACGCTATGAGCGATGGAAAAGCTTCCAACCAGCGACAGAATACCTTGACTTTGTCGAGCATCACCAGAGGCCCAGACACTCCAGCAACAGTCCGATAGTCTACACCACAGCAAGCTCTCAGTCCCTGGATTCCAATGCGATGCCGAGATCTTACCAATCAGGGGCTGGCATTCGTACTCCTTGACGCCCATTGCGGCAGATCTGCTCGAAATATCAATCGCGCCAATCGATCAATCACGAAATCGCGAGGAGGAGGCGCCCTTACCCGACGCTAGGCGAGACCGGAGCTCCCGGATGCCGAGGTGTGAATTAGGGCTCTTTCTCTCTTAAAGGAAAGAAATAGCCTAGAAGATAAGCATTTTATTCCATCCAATCAAAAAGGAAAGTTAAAAAGGAAAGGAATGCCGCAAGAACACACAGCATCAATTCGTCTTGTTACTCTCATCTCAACTCTTCCAAATCGCAAAAGCTCTGGTCTAGACGCGGTAGCCAGTGATCGATCGCCGCCCAATCATCCCGCCCACGCAGAACCACGCGTAGCACTCGCCCACGAACAGCGCAGCGATCCCGACCTCCTCGAGCTTCAACTCTTGCCGATTCCGGAACTTGGCCTTGACGATCTCCACCTCTTTCCAGAACGATTCCGCGCGATGGGGCAAGCTGCGAGAGAGAAGGGTCGCGATTCCGCGATCAATCCAAGGGATTCCATCCATACCTGGCCAGGCGCGTGTAGAGGAGCTGCTTGGAGAGCTCGTTACACTTCTCCACCGTCGGCTCTTCCACGATGTAATGCTTGTTCCGCTCGAGCAGCGTCTTGTAGTACTCGCCGGCGTGCTTCATCACATACTCGGTAGCGGCGGTGGATTTGTGCTGAAGATTCCTCCAGGCGGCCGCCATCGATCAGATCCTTTCCTTCCTCTCAAGAACCCTAGAACTGGAACACCAAGGGTTTTTGTTTAAATGCTACTAAGATCATATCATACAGAGCGTCGTCCAGTGATGGTAGTGGCACGCGGCGTCGTGGCTTTGACAAGATCTTCGAGCGTTTCGTCCAGCATTTCTTCCATCACCGCGCTCGATCCAGACGACCCTTCCTCTTCCTCTTCCACTACTGCTTCCAGAGAAGATCGAGTGGTTCTCGCAGTAGGAGCAGTAGCAAACTCTTCTTCTCCTTCCAGTTCTTCGCTCTCTCCCAGCTCTTGATCGTCGCTGAACAAGTACCTCTGTGCTGTGCCACTCTCCATCGAGCTCCTGCTTCCCACAATCGTGGGACTTCCTATCCGTACTACGCCTGGAGAATCGTAACTCCTGTAGTCCGCCATCCGTCCACCCTCCTGTTCCTCCTCTAGCTCTTGATCGTCTCGACCACCTGATGACCAGTACGATCCCGTTGAGCTGCTCGTGGAGTTTTCGTCCCTCACAGAAGGATCGATGATCTCCGAGACTTCCAAGCTGCTGTCAACCGACGCTGATTCACTATACCGCTGCTTGGTGGGTCGTGCTGCTTGTGTTGAAGGATCGTTACTGCTTCTGAGTTGTAAGGGGCTGCCATCCTCGTCCCTCGATAATCTGGCAGCTTTGTTGTATAAGTCTGTGTAGTGATCCCCGGATCTCCTACACGAAAGTTATAAATCCTGGTTAGCCACCACTTCCTTCCAGAATCTCCAAGAAAAATATTACCGGCTTCCGAGAGACACCTTGAGAAAGTGTGTCGTCGCTCGCATCGTGTTCAGCTCTTTTGCCTGATGATAGGAAACACATCGTGTCACACACAGTAGGAACAAAAGCAAACTAAAAAAACAATCGAACAAAGAATGTCAAGCGTACCTGGAACGCAAGCTTTTGTTGGAGTTGACTTACAACGTGATGGAGCCTCAATCGTTCTCGCTCGGACATTTCCAGCAGCGAGGCCATCTCTTGTGCCATGGCACGAATTCCCAGCAATTCCGCTTCCAGATGCTTGGCTCTCTCGAAAACCAGCTGATAGTCACCTTCCTTTGCATGCAACACCATCTCGTTGTTCTCGCTGTTCTTCCCGCTGTTCTTGACGATCAGCTTGTTTTCTCCTTCCAACTCGTGTTCTTGGTGCTCATCGCTATCGCTGCTGCACTGGGTTCCCATGTCGATTGCCACTTCTGTCGTCCCAGATGATCCAGAGGATTGCCCTGTGCTGGTGTTGGCCTTGGGCCCGTGAAGCTCCTGGATTACTCGCTCTACCTCAAAGATTGAATCGTTGGCTTCCTTGAGTTGCCGCTCGAGATTGGCGATGAGAGAGGTGTGTGAGTGGAGCGCCTTCTCTTTGCTCGATAGCTGTGCTTGCATCTCCATGATCATCTCCTCCCGGCTCTTGAGCTGGTGTCTCAATCGATGCACGGCTTGGCGATGCACGATTCCTGGACGAAGTCGAGGGAAAATAAAAAATCAAGAACGAAAGAAAGGGGCTTTCTGTCGATTCTCGACCAACTGGGAAAGGAAATCTGAGCTTACCATCGGAAGAAATCTCACTGCTGCTGCCACTGCTGCTACTGCCGCTACTCGATTCGCGACGCAACACCATGCACTCGGCATCCATCGCTGCGAGACCTGAGCATTCCAGATAGAAATATTACGGCCCAAGAACAAGACACCAGGGAGAAAGAAGAAGAAATCTCTGCGGATTCTCACCATTGCCGTGCTGCTCGGGGTGAATCGCTGCCGCCGCCGCCGCCGCCTTGTTCTTGCTCTTGTTCTTGCTACTCCGTGTGAATGCCAGCGACAAGACCGTCGCTACGGCGCCGCCGACGACCAGACCCCAGTTCACGCCTTGCTGCTGGCGATAAGAAGACGCTGGCATCCTTCTTCCTCCTGGCCAAGGAATCTCCAACGGGTCGGAACAAGGGACGTACGCTTGAAAGCGTACGGAAGAGGATAAACCCTAAATTCTTGGCTATGGAGGACGAGTTTTGGAGCGTGCCGCTGCCGCCTTCGAGCATCAGGCTCGTCGATTCGATCGATGGCGAGGCGTTCCAGGGATTTCTTCTGGCGCTGCAAGAATCGTCAGTGATCGCGCTGGATGCTGAGTGGAAGCCTGTCTCGGTAGCTGGTACGCACCCCAGGGTTTCGCTGCTCCAGATTGCGTGCCGGAAGCGAGATTTCGGCCCCGAGAGTGATCTTGTGTTCATCGTCGATGTGTTGTCGATCCCGGCTTCTGCATTGCTTCAGCCACTGGAAGAGGCATTGGAAACGTCTAGAATTCTAAAGCTGGGATTCAAGCTTCGACAAGATTTAATCAATCTCGCTGCATCGCTTTCGTCCACTGCGAGCTTCTCCTGTGAGGTAAGTGCCTGAGTTCCTCTTTTACTCGTAACTTTGCTCATTTTCCATGTCCTTCTCTTTGTAGCGTAGCCTTATATTGATATTGGGAAGCTCTATCATGAAGTGAAAAGGAAAAATCCACGTAAACTCCCGGGTGATACTCCGAGCTTATCCCACATATGTAGAGATGTTTTTGGTCGACCTCTTTGCAAGGTATGGGATAGTGTGTGTTTGCATGGCTGCTACTAGTGAAGCTATGTTTTTTGCGCAGAGTTTGCAATGTAGTGACTGGGAGCTGAGGCCACTGACTGAAGAACAAATATCTTATGCTGCCGCTGATGCGCATTGTCTTCTAGCAATTCTGGACGCTCTTCATCCCTATATAATCGACATGCAACGATCAAAAGCAGGTTGGTTTCGACTCTGGTCGATCTGTGGCCTTCTCATTGACGTTTTACATTCGCAGTTGCCTCGGTCGGAATTGCTCGTCTACTCTATCCTGATGAAGAGTTAAGCCCTCTTGTAACGAGGTTTAGGAGCATGAGCGAGAAGGCAGATAGGACTGGAAAGTTTCTCGCGTATCTATTAACTTTTCAGCAGACGCTGTCACTGCAAGCCGACCCAAAAAAGAAAATCAGAACTCGGAGGGTACGGGACACAAACAGATCTCAGGGGCAGACCGAGTTCGAGTGGTGTGGACCTCCGCCATGGGATCCTGTTGTGGGAGGTGATGGTTGCCCAAAGTTTCTGTGTGATATTATGGTAAGTTCGGCGGGCTAAGTGCATAAATTTTAACGCATTTTTTTCTTTCCTTCTGAACAGATTGAAGGCTTAGCTCGTCAGCTACGTTGCGTTGGAATTGACGCTGCTTGTCCACATAGATTAAAACCTGACGCCAGGTTCTTGTTTTTTTCTTTGGAGAGAAGAAATATTCAGCTGGATTGTATTCTTCTAGGCAGCTAATCGAACAAGCTCAAAGAGAAGGGAGGATTCTACTAACAAGAGACGTAAAGCTACTCAGGCAGCGCCTTATTCCATCCAACCAAGCGTACCGTGTCAAACACCTAACAAAGAAAGAGCAACTTACTGAGGTACGATTCAATGCGTCGCTAGCGCTGTCCTTTTTGACAGTTTCTTTACTCAGATTATTGAGACGTTCCATCTTACAGTCTCCGAAGAGCATTTACTCTCGAGGTGCACGAGGTGCAACGGAGAGCTCTGTCCCAAACCATTGACCGCACAGCAAGCAAAGGCTGCTGCTCCCAACCAAAAAATTTCGGAAGATGTATTACTGCAGGACGGTTTACTATTCTGGCAATGCTCCGAGTGCAGGCATCTTTACTGGCAGGTTGGTAAATGACCTGCATCGTTTTCATTTTTATTTATCGGTCTCTCAAACGTTTGTCTCTTAAACTGCAGGGCTTGCAATTCCAGCGGGCAATGCAACGATTTTCTGCCATGTGTAGCTAGTTAGCCTTTCGCGTGTAACGTACGTGACGTTTTTAAATTAACCTGGTGTGCAAGTTCCGGAAGGTTCGATCATTCTTGCGTTCCAGGCACGTAATACACGCGAACAAAAGAAGAATAAGTTGGATGAGACATTTTTTCAACGACGATATCGATATCGATATGGATAGATGAGCAATACAGGATGGCACGAGAGAGACGGGTTGTTTCTTGAGGGCGATTTTTACTTCATGCTTCGGCCTCAAGATTGGTGAATCATTTTCCGCTCCATGGACAGGCCAGTGATTTGCAGCTTTCTTTATTGGACAGACAATCTAAGCAAGAGCAGCACAGGGAATTTAGTCCGCGCGAGAAGGAACGGTTCTGAAGTTCTAAGAAGGAGCAGCAACAGGTCGACAGGGATTTTAGTTTGTAGTAGCAAACAGCGGGATTTAACAGCCGTTAGAAGGAGCGCTTTCGCTCGGGGATTGTTCGAGATGTCCAGGCCCATCAATCTCGTCCCGGCCTTCCTTTTAAGCTTCGCAGGCAGCTGGATGACTGCAAACTACAGCCCGAGAGTGCTACTCATGCCAGCTGTGTGGACAAGTTCAGCTTGTAGCGCTCTCATATTAGCAGCATCAATGCTCGTCAACGACTGCTACGATCATATATCTGGAACAGACGGTCTCAACAGAAGGAACTCGGCGTTGCTGAGTGGAGAAATCACCACGGCTGATGTGAGTCTTTCAAAGTTAATAGCTTCGGTCTAGAATGATCTTTTGCTTCGCAGGTTGGACTGGTTGCTGGATGCATCTACGGAGGCGTCATGCTGGCAACTTGTTGCTTGGAGCAACCCATCATGAGGCTACTCATCACACTCTCGGCGTACATCACATTTGTCTACACGCCGCTGGTCAAGAAGGTGACGCTGTTGAAGAACATTGTCGTATCCGGGGTGATCGCCAGCGCCATTTTTGCCGGGGGTCTTGCAGTGACACACGGTAGTGTTAGCGTGATTCCTCAGAGAACTCTTGCTTCCAGCTTCTACCTTTTCTTGTCGATTCTCGGCCGAGAGATTCTTATGGATGTCAAGGACATGGCTGGCGACAGAGTTACGGGAGTTCGCACCATACCAGTCTGCTTCGGCGAGCAGACGGGCACTTGTGTAGCAGTACTGTGCGCAACAGCGGCAAATCTTTTCCTGGTAATGTCTTTCTCCTGAGTTTTGACTTACAGCTCATGGGCTCATTCATGATACAGATCCAAATGGCTTGGTTGAGGAGGAAGTCGTGGTACGTCTCGTTAGTTTTGTCGATTATCAATTCTGGCATGCTTGCGTGTTTTATCTCGAAACTTCCCACGTTTTCTCGTGACGAACTCAGTCAAGATTACATGCTTGTGATGGCCTTGGGAACTATAACCATGGCAACGTCGTTATAATCGAGCTCCTTATAAGGTGACAAGCCATCCATTTCTTGCTGATATCATTCTTTGTCCTGTTCCAGTATCGAAGAATTTCTAGAAGAAAAAGAGTTGCTTAGCAGGTAACAAATTGCTAATGAGTTAATATGTCTTAGATGTTTTTCTCAGGATCGAGGGAAGTTATAGTATATCTGATGATCTCTGGGGATGCTGCTGAATTGCTGAGGAACTGCAGCTCTGTAGCGGAAGTAAAGACCATCCACGCTCAAATCTGCGAGCACAATCTTCACGACGGCAGTGCAAAGAAGAGGAGGAGGTTTCTGGAAAATCTGGTCGTCCAGATGTACGCTCAGTGTGGCAGCGTGACCGATGCCCGCCAGGCCTTCGACACAATGAGCTCGCGCAAGAACGTCTTTTCGTGGACAATCATCATCTCCGCCTACGTCCGCGCAGATCACGGCAGCGACGCTCTCCAGCTCTTCCGGACAATGAACCAAGAGGGCGATCGAGCAGACGAGGTGACGCTCACTACACTCTTGGGGGCCTGCTCGTCGCTGGAAGATCTCCAGCAGGGAAAGATGATCCACAGCTTGATCGTGGAGCTCGGCTATGGGGAACAGGATGGAGAAGAGCAGGATCTCATGGTCGGGAATTCGCTGGTCAACATGTATGCCAAATGCCGCAGTCTCGCCGACGCCATCGCCATCTTCGACCGGATGAAGAACAGAAGCGTCTTCTCGTGGACCATCATGGTGACGGCATTTGCCCAGAACGGGCAGCTGCAGCGAGCGATCCAGTGCTACCGCCAGATGTGCTGCGATGGAGTGGATCCCAACGCCGTGACATTCGTAGCGCTCCTGGCCGCGTGTTCTAGCGGTGGAGAGCTGGCTGCCGGACGGAAGATTGCCGCTCGCGTCGAGGCCAGTGGCCTAGACTCGGATCTTATCGTTGGAAGCGCGATCGTGAATTTCTACGGCAAGTGTGGGCGACTGGATGAAGCGCGCGAGGCCTTCGATCGAATGCCCGCTAAGAACAACGTGACTTGGAACGGGATGATCGCGGCCTACGTCCAGAGCGGCGCCGCCACCCAAGCAATGGATCTCTTCGCCACAATGGAGGATGAGGGAGTGGTGCCGGACGCGATGGCTGTGAGCAGCATTCTAGGCGCTTGCTCTGGGCTCGAATCTGGGAAAAGAATCCACTCGGCAGTGATCGATCGCCGCCAGGAGCTCCAGTCGGATCGAGCAGTTTGCAACGCGCTCGTCCACATGTACGCGAGGTGTGGCAGTCTCGACGATGCAAGGCTCGTGTTCCTGGCGATTCCTTCCAAGAACACCGTGTCGTGGACGACGATCATCGCGGCCTTCGCTCAGCAAGAGAATCGCGATGATATCGAAGCTGCTTTCCAGCTCTTCCGGGAGATGGATCTCGACGGCGTTGCTCCCAGCGAGGTCACCATCTTCTACGCGCTGGAAACTTGCTCCAAGATGGATCGCGGAGGACTGGCCAGCGGACGAGCGCTCCACACCGCCATGGACACCGCTGGAAGAGTGGAGCTTCTTTCCAGCGTCGAGGTTCTCAACTCGCTGCTGGATATGTACGCCAGCTGCGGCAGCTTGATCGATGCCGAGGCAATCTTCTTCGATCATCTCCTCGGCAAGAACGTCGACGTTGTCTCGTGGACGAACATGATTGCGGCTTACGTCCAGCATGGCCAATCTTCCTCGGCGCTGCTACTCGCAAAGAAGATGGACCTGGAAGGAGTGAAGTCGGACGAGATCGCCATGTCCACCATCTTGGGAGCTTGCACCGCGCACCAGGCCACCTCTCTCGGGCGAGAGCTCCATCGCCGGGCTCGAGAGCTCGGCTATGCCTCAAATACCATCGTTGGGAACGCGCTAGTCTTCATGTATGGCAGCTGGGGGAGAGTGGACGATGCCGCTCGAGTTTTCCAGGAGCTCAAGAACGCAAACAGCCCCAACTCCAACACTTTCACTGCGATGATCGCTGGCTATGCCCGTCAAGGCCGGACTTTGCAAGCTCTCTCGCTGTACAACGAGATGAATCTCCATGGGGTCGAGCCCAGGGACGCTACCTTTACGAGCATCTTCCAGGCATGCAGCCACGCGGGGTTTCTTGCCAAGGCCTTGGAGCACTTCGTTTTCATCTACGACTTCCAGGGATTGGAGCCGACGGCCGAGCACTTTGGCTGCGTGGTGGACTTGCTGGGACGAAGTGGATTCGTGCGAGAGGCTGAAGAGCTTGTGCTCGCCATGCCTTACGAGCCGGACATTGTCGCATGGAGATCACTGCTAGCGTCGTGTGGTGGCTCCGATCAAGGAGCGAGCCGGAGGGCCGCCGAGGAGGCCGTCCACTTGCAACCGTCTGGCTGTTCTTCGCACTATGTTCTCCTCTCCAACCTTGTCAAAACGGTTGGTGCTCTCAATCATCATCATGAAAAGAATGCTTACCTTTGAGCTTTGGTCCGAAATATGAAAGTCTCTGCACATTAAAAAGCTTTTCCATAGCTTTAGATCACACGGCCGGCTTAAAAGCTATTTGTTTTTTTCTTTTGATTTTTTTGCAGATGTTTGTTCAAAATTCTCATAGATATAGAAAAAACTTAATTAAGTTAGCATGACGTGCCACTTGCAAAAATTGGTATATCTGGTTTTCCTATTCTATATAAAACTAAGTTGCAATCATTTTGTAGTAATAATATCGAACTTGCAAAACAATTATAAATTGGGATACAAAAAGTATTAGTAGACCATCTAGCTTTCAAATTGAATGCACCATATACCACTAAATTGCCATCAGATTGAATTCTTAATTTGCAATCAAAATCAGTGTCTTCTGTTTTAGTACTCCATTTAATAGTGCTCTTAAAATATAAAACAAGGTTACAATTATATTGAATTATAAGTATGTAATTGTTTGAAAAGTTATGTAGATACTTTTTTGATGCATACAAATAAGAATAGGGTTCATCGTATTCACCACTTAACATGACATGATTGAAAGCTGAATGCATATCAACATCATCATTTAGCAACATTTTTCGTTTTTTTAATAGCAATTGACGAGATCTAGGAATTCTAATAACCCGGTAATTAACAATAAAACGTCCATAATAAGACATTATACTTACCGCAAAATACATAGGTCCTGTTTGAACAAGATTATTATATAATTGATTGAATGAGCTTATAATTATGCTTGACGCTTGATCATTCAACACTTGAAAAACCCCTGGAGATGGATGAAAATTGATGATGCCAGCATCAATCATATGAAGACATACTAGCACTAATCTATTACTGTTTGGAATCAGTACCGATGCTTCAAAACTAGCATCTGGATCTGTTACACCTCCAGCAGGTAATGCTTCATGTAATAAGGTGTTTAGAAATGCCATCAAGTAATCTACATTATTTTGATTAAGAATCCCTTCAGGGCCATAAACTCCATCTACTTCAACAGGTGAGGAGGTTACAATTTGAAAGCATATTAGAAGCAGAAAGATATATATTAATAATTGCACCATGCTAATCTAAATATTACAGCTCCCTTCTTGCATCTGATTCTAAAATTTTAATCTTTAAACGATTTCTAAAGTATGTCTCTTGCCATGTGGCGGTGTATATATATCTATATAAAACTTCTGAAGTATTTTCTTCGTTGGTGTTCCTAGTGACATTGGCTTGCTCTTAAGAATGCGATGCAACAACCAGGAATTTAGACCACGACACGTGGATTGGCTTCTATGCTACATCTTCTAAGCTTTCCAGTTAGCAATTATAGGATGAGTTCACTAATCACTAGACCATCAACCCTGTCATCAACTACCAACCTTCGGACACAATGTAGTGGGATCCTTCCACCATGAGTTTCTTGTTTTCCAGTTCCAGATGATATTCCTGCATTTCATACGTGGTACTACAAAAAATTTACATTCTTTTTGACCATTCTTGGTCAAAGGATTCAACAGTGACTTGGAGCGCATGGAAACGCCCGAGCCTCCGCTGCCCTTCTCTGGCGCCGCATTTCCAGTACCGGTATGAAGCCATCGGCGCCAAGCCCTGGTCCCCTCTCTTGGTCTCTTCCAACAGGTGCTGTGGATTCCTACACCTAGATCGCTTCATCGTTCCTTCTTGATCGACCGACCTAATGGCTCTGAGTTCTATTTTTATTCATTCACCAGAAGTTCTTGCGGTCGCGGACGATATTGCACTTCGCTTCCTGGCACAGATACTCACGCAAGCGCTCCATGACTCCACGGCGCACTCGAGGATCCAGAGCTGCCTCAAAAACCAATAGCGGAGTTTCTAGATTTCTGGAGATATTTGGATCATCTCAAGCTTGTCTACTATCCCCTAAGGTAGCAACTTGTCTCTGGTTGTTGCTCACTCTGGATGGAACTTTTTTTTCAGCCTACTATTGTGAGAATCGTACCTTTGTTTCAAATGGAACAGAAAAAACCTGGCTGGCTGGCTGGCTGGTTTAAAACCCTTCGTAGTTTTACGCAGAGCGTTCTCGACCGGAACAAAACGAGATCGTAAGGAGATGAGCTCTGTTTCTAACTGACAACAGTAGACAACGTAAGATGGATTCAAAGGGGGCTACTGTTTTTACTTCTATTTATTTCAGTTTGCAGTTGAGATCATTGCTCCATTTCTCGCTCCCAACGCACTGGTGGCACACAAACAGACCAGTTGGATCGTACTTGTCCTTTATGTCAAGCAAGCGAGGATAGTTCTCTCCAAAGAAGGATTGTTGCCAGTTCGGTTCGTTGAAATCGGCTTCGTTCATGTAAGCTCCTGAACCCGGTAGCAACTTGTTTGCATGCGTGATCTGCCTCGCAAACTTTTCATATTCCGCCTGAGTTGTGTTATCGTTGGTGTTTGTTGCCAGGATGATATGCCAAAGTGCCGAGCGCAATGCCGGATTCACAGCGTTGTTCCGTGGCCGTGCCACATCTCCTCCAAGGTTGGAAACGCCGGTTATGGAGAAAGGAGTGTTGGTTATCTTCATCAATGCCCGGGAAATCTTCGTAGGACAATCCGTAAAGACTTTTCTGGGAATCAAGCTCGATGCTCCGGGAAATCTCAACTGGCTTCGTCTGGTGAAGGTGATGCAGCTGGGCTGGCCACCGCACTGAACAGCTAGATGCCATTCCTGAAAGGAAGAAAACGCGAGCAAACTGGTCTCAAGGACCATCCCTGGTTGATGCTCAGCGTAAGTCGTCAGCGGCGTCAGTGTCTCGTTCGCAAAGGAGACGTTTTTGTTCGGGAGGAGATAGACGAGCACCAGGCTTCGGCTTGAAAGGAAGAAATTCCCTGACCAACCAGCGTCAGATAGCTCGGGACTGATCTGGACGAATTTCTTCACCAGCTTTCCCATGGGGTTGGAGGCGTTGACAGTGGTGGCAGTGAAGTTGTAGAGAGCAAAGGCGAGACTTTCAAGAGCAGGATGGGTTCTATATGTTGCAGAAACTACAACTCCGAAAGTGCCACCCCCTCCACCACGGAGTGCCCAGAAGAGTTCCTGGTTTTGCCAGTCATTAGCAACGAGGAGCTCACCACCAGCGGTAACAATTTCATATTGGAGAATGTTATCTGCAGCAAGTCCAAACATTGGCGAGAGCAAGCTGTGGCCGCCACCTTGAGGAAAACCACCTGCAGCCCCTACAGAAGAACATGCTCCTCCTGTTATGACAGAGTTTCGTTCGTGAGTTGCTGCATACAGCTCTTCCCACTGAACGCCAGCACCGATGGTCACGGCAGGGATCTTCCCCAGTGGTGGTGAATTCTTATCAGGACAATATCCTTCCGGGACAAAACTCTCGTGAAAAGTTATGCTCTTGAGATGGTGCAACCAGATGGCGAATGAACCCGGGGCTGTGCTGCGACCAGTGGGATCATGCCCGGAAGTTCTAACTACAAGCCGGAGATTATACCTGGAGGCAAACTTGACAGCCGAGATGACTTGCAAGGGGTCCAGGACACTTACGGCGTAGACCGGAACGGCACCTTGGAAGCATGTTGAGCTTCTGTTGGAGGCAAGCGAGCAGCGGTGCTGGTCTCCAAGGCTCTCAAAGTTTGAGGCATACAACGCACCAGGGTGGCTTGTTCTCCAGAATTCCAGCTCCCAGCTTTCTTGGACTTCTTTGCAGCCTTGTTCGTCAAAGAAGGGGTCGTGGCAAGGAGCAGCCGGAGGTAAGACTCTGATCAACCGTCCCTCCACTGACGTGTTGAAGCTGTTCCAGACTCGAGAAGATGGCCAGCAATCGTGATCAAATGCGAGGCAGCGGCATGAGGAATTCTGTGGCTCCTTGACAGAAAGAATACCGGGAACAAAGCTGAGGAGGAGGACCAAGTAAGTTGCTCTATGCATTTTTTTCTGCTTGTACATTGTCTCTTCAGAACCCGGTTTATATTCTGAGCGAAGCTTTTCCTGTTGTTTTATAGCTTCCTAACCGTTAGTGTTTTGTGCTCTGGAGCCATGTTATGAGCAGTGTGCGTCCATCCAGAGGAAGTAGGACGAGGAATAAGCAAAAACAAAATGGAATCCTTTCCATTTGGTGCACACAATCCGGCTCTCACAGCTTCTCTACAGTCAAATCCAAGGGAAAAAAGAAAAATCAGGCCGCACATGAACGAATAGTCTGTGGAAACGTTGGACCCTTGTTTACTTAACTCAATGGAAATATTCGTTCTGGCATTCAGTCATTCATATACTGCTTACAAAGTTAGTCGTTTGTTGTCCAACTTGGTAATTTCCTACAATAGGTTTGGACTCTCGCGGCGATTACGATCGACAATCTCAACTCAAAAAAACATTTTAATTAGTAGTCTAATAAAAGTATGCTAAATGTTGCTTAACTGTAACGGGCCGGATCTATGTTAATAATTCATGTCCCCACTATCTCTTTTCTTATTAGATCTATTAACAGCTGGGAGGCCTCGTATTCAGCTTCCTGGAGAGGAAAGCTATGAGCAGCGGTATCTTTGTGGAAACAAAGATGAAGCAGCTTAAACTTTGGTCCTGGACGTCGTCCACTTGTCCACGCTTTGTCAACATAGAAAGAATTAGCACTTCAAGGACCTACACAAACATTCTCATTAGTTAGAAAGCCCTGGACGTCACAATGTAGTTGCCCTCCTGTTTTTCCCAGTGCTCAATATCTCTCAGATGTCAGAGCAATGTAACTGTTTTTCCCCTTGCTTTCTTCTCTGTTTGCTCATACTTCCATTGCTTTCCTTGCTTCTCAAGCGCAGAGACCCAGACTAGGCATATGGAGAAGCGATCCCGCAGCGGGATTCTTTCCAGCATGACCGCCTGTCAGTGCTCGAGATTTCTCATTTCTCTGGGCAAATACCGCAGTCAAAACGTTCCACGCAATTCCATCGCTCTGGGGCTTCTTGCTCGACGTCTCAAGTGCAGGATCGATTCTTCCAGCGCGCCTGGTCATACCATCTTGCCAAAACGCCTGTGGCACGGGATTGTGGCTACTTCGATCCTGCAAGCATCCCAAA